GACTATAGACCAGACTATAGAATAGACTATAGACTAGACTATAAACTAGACTATAGACTAGACTATAGACTAGACTATAGACTAGACTATAGACTAGACTATAGACTAGACTATAGACTAGACTATAGACTAGACTATAGACTAGACTATAGACTAGACTATAGACTAGACTATAGACTAGACTATAGACTAGACTATAGACTAGACTATAGACTAGAGTATAGACTAGACTATAGACTAGAGTATAGACTAGACTATAGACTAGACTATAGACTAGAGTATAGACTAGACTATAGACTAGACTATAGACTAGACTATAGACTAGACTATAGACTAGACTATAGACTAGACTATAGACTAGACTATAGACTAGACTATAGACTAGACTATAGACTAGACTATAGACTAGACTATAGACTAGACTATTAACTATATACTAGACTATTGACTATAGACTAGACTACAGACTATAGACTAGACTATAGACTAGACTATAGACTAGACTATAGACTAGACTATAGACTAGACTATAGACTAGAGTATAGACTAGACTATAGACTAGAGTATAGACTAGACTATAGACTAGACTATAGACTAGACTATAGACTAGACTATAGACTAGACTATAGACTAGACTGTAGACTAGACTATAGACTAGACTATAGACTAGACTATAGACTAGACTATAGACTAGACTATAGACTAGACTATAGACTAGACTATAGACTAGACTATAGATTAGACTATAGACTAGACTATAGACTAGACTATAGACTAGACTATAGACTAGACTATAGACTAGGCTATAGACTAGACTATAGACTAGACTATAGACTAGACTATAGACTAGACTATAGACTAGACTATAGACTAGACTATAGACTAGACTATAGACTAGACTATAGACTAGACTATAGACTAGACTATAGACTAGACTATAGACTAGACTATAGACTAGACTATAGACTAGACTATAGACTAGACTATAGACTAGACTATAGACTAGACTATAGACTAGACTATAGACTAGACTATAGACTAGACTATAGACTAGACTATAGACTAGACTATAGACTAGACTATAGACTAGACTATAGACTAGACTATAGACTAGACTATAGACTAGACTATAGACTAGACTATAGACTAGACTATAGACTAGACTATAGACTAGACTATAGACTAGACTATAGACTAGACTATAGACTAGACTATAGACTAGACTATAGACTAGACTATAGACTAGACTATAGACTAGACTATAGACTAGACTATAGACTAGACTATAGACTAGACTATAGACTAGACTATAGACTAGACTATAGACTAGACTATAGACTAGACTATAGACTAGACTATAGACTAGACTAGACTATAGACTAAACTTTAGACTAAACTATAGACTAGAGTCCAGACTAAAGTACATTTTAGTCTCATAGACTAAAATATAGTCTAGACTATAGAATTGTTTATAATTTGCGACTTTTTAAAAATATATCTTAATGACCTTTGCACAGTACTTCCTCTTTTGAAAAAGATAAAAAAAAAACTTAAAACATTTTCCAAGTAGTGACAAATAAAAACGAAAATAAATAACGAAGTTTACGAACTTACATACTTAAGTATTACAATTTAAATTGAAACTAATTTGTCATTTAAAATTAGTGCTGCTGCTAAGGAAAAACAGGATGCAATATCAATGTTATACATTCCCCCCCAAATTGCATTGCATATCCTTTACAAAAACAAAACGAGTTTTGAAACAAATAAATCTTATGCATCCTTAAACTTTATTTAAACAATAAAATGTCATGCTGTCTAATAGAGTTACAAGGGAAGAGGGTGATAGTCCAAAGGTTTTTGATTTGAAGCATAGTGGATGGGGGGGGTAATGGTGATAGTGTCTTAGTTTAAAGTTAAAACGACCACCATCAGAATGTTGCTAAGTTATTGACAAAGATTTATTTGTAGCGATAAATTAACAACTAAATAGAGTACCAAGGAAAAGAAAAATAGCTGATGTTTGAGTTTTATGTGGTGCTTTGGTGGAGGGATTGCATCTTGCTTTTGTTTTTTATTGGAATTTGCGAAATATTGAATAGTTTTATTAAAATTTAGCTTAGATATATTTTAAGTCTTATCTGAGCCTAGAATTTAGACTAGACTATAGCCTAGGGTGAAGACAAATCTCTAGTTTTGACTTTAGACGCAATTAAAGTTTAGCCTATTGACTTAACCATAGTTAACTATAACCATAGACTAAACTATAGTCTTGACTATAGACTAAACTATAGTCTATACTATAGACTAAACAATAGTCTATACTATAGACTAAATTATAGCTAAACTATAGTCTGTGATATAGACTAAACTATAGTCTTTAGACTAAACTATTGTCTAGACTATAGACCAAACTATAGTCCACACTATAGACTAAACTATAGTCTACACTATAGACTAAACTATAGCCTAGACTATAGACTAACTTATAGTCTAGACTATTGTCTAAGCTATAGTCTAGACTATTGTCTAATCTATAGTTTAAACTTTAGACTAAACTATAGTCTTTACTATAAACTATACTAAAATTTAGTATAACCTACACTATACTCTACACTATAGACTAACGTATAGTCTAGACCATAGACTAACCTATAGTCTAGACTATAGACTAATTTATTGTCTAGACTATTTTCTAAGATATAGTCTAGACTATTGTCTAAACTATAGCTTAAACTTTAGACTAAACTATAGACTTTACTATAAACTATACTAAATTTAGTATAAACTACACTATACTCTAGACTATAGACTAAACTATAGTCTAGACTATAGACTAAGCTATAGTGTGGACTATAGACTAAACTATAGGCTATTCCATAGACTTTACTATAGCCTATACTATAAAATAAACTATAGCCTACAATATGTACAAAACTGTAGTCTAGACTAATCTATAGTTTACGCTATAGACTAAAGTGTAGTCTAGACTACAGACTAAACTGTAGTCTAGACTATATACTAAACTATAGTCTAGACTGTAGACTAGACTATAGACTAAACTATAGTCTAGAATATAAACTAAACAATAGTCTAGAAAATAGACTAATCAATAGTCTAGACTGTAGACTAAACTATAGTCTAGACTATAGACTAAACTATAGTCTAGACTATAGACTAAACTATAGTCTAGACTATAGACTAAACTATAGTCTAGACTATAGACTAAACTATAGTCTAGACTATAGACTAAACTATTGTCTAGACTATAGACTAAGCTATAGTCTATATTATAGACTAAACTATAGTCTATACTATAGACTAAACTATAGTCTAGACTAAAAACTAAACAATAGTCTAGAGTCTAGACTATAAACTAACCAATAGTCTAGACTATAAACTAACCAGTAGTCTAGACTATAGACTAAACTACAGTCTAGAGTCTAGACTAAACTATAGTCTAGACTATAGACCAGACCATAGTCTAGACTATAAACTAACCAATATTCTAGACTATAGACTAAACTATAGTCTAGACTATAGACTAAACTATAGTCTAGACTATAGACTAAACTATAGTCTAGACCATAGACTAACCTATTGTCTAAACTATAGACTAAACTACAGACTAACCTATTGTCTAGACTATAGACTAACCTATAGGCTAGACTATAGACTAACATATAGTCTAAACTATAGACTAAATTATAGTCTAGACTATAACCTAAACTATAGTTTGGACTATAGACTAAACTAAAGGCTAGGCTATAGACTAGACTATAGACTAAACGAAAGTCTAGACTATAGACTAAACTATAGTCTAGACTATAGACTAAACTATAGTCTAGAGTATAAACTAAACAACAGTCTAAACTGTAGACTATATACTAAGCAATAGTCTAGACTATAGACTAAACTATAGTCTAGACCACAGACTAAACTATTGTCTAGACTATAGACTAAACTATAATCTAGAGTATAGACTAAACTATAGTCTAGCGTATTGACTAAACTATAGTCTAGCGTATAGACTAAACTATAGTCTAGCCTATAGACTAAAGTATAGTCTAGCCTATAGACTAAACTTTAGTCTAGCCTATAGACTGAACTTTAGTCTATCCTATAAACTAACTATAGTTTAGTTCTAGCCTACAGACTAAACTATAGTCTAGCCTATAGACTAAACTATAGTCTAGCCTATAGACTAAACTATAGTCTAGCCTATAGACTAAACTATAGTCTAGCCTATAGACTAAACTATAGTCTAGCCTATAGACTAAACTATAGTCTAGCCTATAGACTAAACTATAGTCTAGCCTATAGACTAAACTATAGTCTAGCCTATAGACTAAACTATAGTCTAGCCTATAGACTAAACTAGTCTAGCCTATAGACTAAACTATTGTCTAGCTTATAGCTAAACTATAGACTAAACTATAATCTTGCCTATAGACTAAACTATAGTCTAGCTTTAAGACTAAACTATAGTCTAGATTATATTAAAATATATAGTCTAGCCTATAGTCTAGGCTAAAGACTTAATTATAGTCTATCTTATGCACCAAAATTTAGACTAGCCTATAGGCTAAACTATAGACTATAATAAAATCTATAGACTAAATTATAGTTTAACTATTTTTTAATATTTTTAATTTATTTCCTTTAAATTAATTAATTTTTATTTATTTATATAATTATTAGTTAATTAAACTAGAAATTAGTAGTTTTTTTAATTTAGCCTATAGGCTAAACTATAGACTATAATAAAATCTGTAGACTAAATTATAGTTTAACTATTTTTTAATATTTTTAATTTATTTCCTTTAAATTAATTAATTTTTATTTATTTATATAATTATTAGTTAATTAAACTAGAAATTAGTAGTTTTTTAATTTAGTTATTAATTTTTTAAATTATTATATTAACCTATTAAATATCATTTAATTTAACGTTTACTTTGTTTTCTTATTTTTAGCAATTGGCAAGGCTGTTCATTACTGTTGGAGTTGGCAATGCTGTTGTATGATATAAAATATGTAAACATTTGTTGTTTAGTTTATGCTTTTGGCTGTCTAAATTCAATAAGCAAGAGAGAGACAAGTATATGTTTATGGTCTGCAATTAGTAATGCATTGCGAAAAAGCTAGATTTTTGCATTCATTCAATATAGGGTTTGTTTTTGTTTTTAGTTTTTTTTTTTCCTGCTGCTGCTTATTTGATTCTGCTGCTGCTTGTTTCGTTTTGCTATGAAACTTTATATGATAGTTGTTGTTTTTTGTTTGTTTTTTGTGTTTTTAGTGAGCCACTAAATGCAAATACTTGACTAGTCTCTCATTAGAAGTTGTTACGGTTAAAACGTGTGCGGGTGTTTTGTTAATAAATAAAATGAAAAAAAATAAAAAAAACAAACAGGAATTAAGAAAAATGTAAAGAAAAGTGTAATAATTAAAAAGTTTTAAAGAAATTTATGTAAATTAAGGAAAATAACTAAAGAAATAATAATATTTGCTAGAAATTTATAAGAAAAAAGTGAATAAAATTGCATTCAAAAAGAAAGCAAAATGTGGAAAAGCAAATGTATAAAAATTTTGTAATGGCCTGCCATTTTAAAACAACAACAACAACAATAGTGAAACAAAAAATAAACACGATTTTTAAGCTAAATTATTAATAAATAATAAAAACGTAAAAATTAAACTAAAATTTTTTGCAAAAAGAGGAGTTGTAGGCTAAACAACAATAACATCTAGCTAATAATTATAATTGTACAAAAGAAAAAAGAAAGAAATGTAAATTTATAAAAACAACAACTGAATGGCGAAGTGTCTGAAGCAAAAAGCAGAGAAAATAACAACAAAATTAAATGCAAATGAAGTGAAAAATATTAAGTAAAAAAAAAACAAAAGTTTAAATTACAATTTGTTAAAAAGCCACTACAACAACAAATAGGAAAACAAACCAAAAAGCAAATGTGCAATAATTAAAGCAACAACAACAAATTTAAGCAAATTCTTTAAAAAAGCAAAAAAAAATTATAGAAAAAAAGTTAAAATCTTAAAAAAAGTGAAAAAAATAAAGGAAAAAAGCTAAAAATAGGAAATAATATAAAAAGTAAAGAATAAAGTGTGTGTGTGTTACTAAAAAAAGCAAAAACAACAACAAATAGCTATTGCAAAATATTTCAGTTTACAGCAGCAGCTACAACAACAACATCAAACACCAAAAAGGAAAAACACAACAGAACTGCAAGTTAAATTTTTGTTATTGTATTTTAAGGTAAGAGTGTTTGTTGTTTTTTTTTTACTTTACTATTCTTCTTCTTCTTCTTATATATTCTAAAATGCCCATCATACGCTAAACAAACCAATGTCATAAACCATATAACTCCCTGAGTTTTTTAAAACTTCCTCCCCTCCCCTTTTTTCAAACGAAAAAGCAAATTTATCTTCCCCCCCCTCTTTAAATTAAAAGTGTTTGGTTAAACAACAACAACACCAATAACATAAAGAAGCAGAATAGTTCTCAACTAAAGCAAGGAATTAAAACTTGACATAACCTTTAAAGTTGCCAGAGGGTTTTGTTTTTTTTTAAGAGTAAACTTCGAAAAAAATCGCCAAAATATTAACAAAATACTGGAACATGTTTTAGGTTTAATTAATTTACAGGATTATTTGCAAAATTTTTGATTTATATTAAATATATAAACGGATAATTTTATTAGATTATTCGAATAATTTTAAATGATTATTCGAATAGTTTTAAGCGATTAATCGTATAATTTTAATCGATTAATTATAAATCTTAATGATTTTTTTACGGAAATTTGTTATTTTTTGGAAAATTTTCATATTAATAGATTAATCGGATAATTTTAATCGATTAATTTTAAACCTTAATGATTTTTTTTGCGGAAATTTGTTATTTTTTGGAAATTTTTCATATTAATAGATTAATCGTATAATTTTAATCGATTAATCGGATAATTTTACTCCGTTAATCGTTTAACATTAGATTTTTTTGGGGGAAAACGTTTTTTTGTTGCCAAATTTTCATATTCAATGTCAATTTTATTCGAATTACATTACGTTTATTCGAATAATAACTTTATTTAATTAATCGTTTAATCGGATAATTTTAATCGATTATACGTATAATTTTATTTGATTAAGCGTTTAACTTAAATGATTGTTGTTTTTTGTTAAAATTTCTTATTAATCAATTAATCGGATAACTTTAATCGATTAATCGGATAGTTTTAATCAATTAATTTATATAGCTTTAATGATTTTTAATCGATAAATTTTAATCGTTTAACTTAAAAAAAATGTTTTATGGAAAAATTTAGTTTTTTACAAAATTTTCTAATTAATCGATTAATCGAAGAGTTTTAATAGATTAATCGGATAATTTTGCTTATTTAATTGTTTAACTTTTTTAATCTTAATCGTTTAACTTTACTGACTATTGTTTTTTGCAAATTTTTTTCGTATTAATCGATTATTCGAATAATTTTAATCGATTATTCGAATAGTTTTAATCGATTAATCAGATAATTTTAATCAATTAATTATTTAACTTGAATGATTTTTTAGGAAAATTTGTTGTTTTTTTACAAAATTTTCAAATTAATCGATTAATCGAATAGTTTTAATCGATTAATCGAATAGTTTTAATCGATTAATCGAATAATTTTAATCGATTAATCGTATGATTTTGAATTAAACTTTTAACTTCTTTAATTTTAATTGTTTAACTTTACTGATTATTGTTTTTTGCTAAATTTTTTCTTATTAATCGATTATTCGAATAATTTTAATCGATTAATCGGATAATTTTAGTTTAATTATATAACTTTAATGCCATTTCTTACTGAAATTTATTGCTTTTTGGAAAATTTTCATATTAACAAATTATACGGATATTTTTAATCGATTAATCGGTTAATTTTTATTGATTAATCTTTTAACTTTAGACAATTTTTTTGGCGAAAACTTGTTTTTTGTTGCTAAATTTTTATATACAATGTTTTCCTTTCGAAATGAAACTGATTTTATTCGATTATTTGAATAACTATTCGAATGACATTTCGTTAATTCGAATAATTTTAAACGATTATTCGAATAATTTTAATTTATTAATTGTTTAACTTTACTGATTATTGTTTTTTTTTGCAAAATTTGTTTATATTAATCGTTTAATCGAATAATTTTAATCGATTAATCGGTTAAATTTTATAGATTAATCGTTTTACTTTAAAACCCTTTTTTGGCGAAAATTGTTTTTTGTTTCAAAATTTTTATATTCAATGTTTTCCTTTCAAAATGAAACAGATTTTTATTCGATTATTCGAATAACATTTCGTTTATTCGAATAACTTTATTCTATTAATGGTTTAGCTTTGCAGATTTGCATATTTTGCAAAAAATGATGATTGTTTTTATTCGATTAATCGATTATTCGAATAATTTTAATCGCATAATTTTATTCGATTTTCATATTCATCGATTAATCGGATAATTTTATTCGATTAAATCGTTTAACTTTATTGATTTTTTTATTTATATTTATTTTTTTGAAAAATATTCGTATTAATCGATTATTCGTATAATTATAATCTATTAATCGGATCATTTTACTCGATTAATCGTTTAACTTTAGAACATTTTTTGGCAAAATATTGTTGTTTTTTTTCAACACTTACATATTAATAAACATTTCTCATTCAAAATGAAACAAATTTTATTTGATTCGTTGATTCGAATAACTTTATTCGATTAATAGTTTAGCTTTACAGACTTACATATTTTGCGAAAAATGTTATTAAAATAATTTTAATCGATTAATCGTTTAACTTTAGTGATTATTGTTTTTTGTAAATTTTTATATTAATCGATTATTCGAATAATTTTAATCGATTATTCGGTTAATTTTATTCGATTAATTATTAAACTTATTTTTACGGAAAACTGTTGTTTTTGGAAAATTTTTATGTTAATCAATTAATCGAATAATTTTAATCGATTAATTGGACCATTTTCTCGATTAATCGTTTACTTTTAGAAAATTTTTTTGCAGAAAATTTGTTTTTCAATATTTACATATTAATCAACTTTTCCCTTTTAAAATGGGACATTTTATTCGATTATTCGAATAACTTTATTCGTTTATTCGAATAAATTTATTTGTTTATTCGAATAACTTTATTCATTTATCTTTACAGACTTACTTATTTTGCGAAAAAAGTTTTTTTCGAATAATTTTAATCGGATAATTTTATTCGATCAATCGTATAATTTTAATTGATTAAGCGTTAAATTAAATGATTGTTATTTTTTGGAAATAAAAAACTCGCATAAAAATTTTATGCGAGTAATCGCATAATTTTATTCGATTAATCGGTTAATTTTAATTTTTTAAGTAAAATTTTAGCTTTATGTAAAATTTTCATATTTATCGATAAATCGGATAATTTTAATCGGTTAATTTTAGAACATTTTTTAACGAAAAAGGTTTTTTGTTTATATTTTCGTATTAATCAACATTTCCCTTTCAAATTCGAATAATTTTAATCGGATAAAAAAATTGTTTTTTAATCGCATATTATAAATTTTCATGTAAATCGATTAATTGGAAAGTTTTATTCCATTAATAGATTAATTTAAGAATTTTAATCGATTAATCGGCTAACAATTCTATTTTTCTCCAAAATCAACATATTAATTTATTTTTCGCATAATTTTAATAAATTATTCGAATATTTAAAGTCGATTATCCGAATAATTTTTAATCGATTATTCGAATAATTTCAATTCATTGATATAATACATAATTTAGTTTTTCTCCAGAATTTACATATTAATTTCAATTTTAAATAATGTTAATCGATTATTCGAATATATAAATGATTATTCGATAAATTTAAAGCGATTAATCGAAATTTGTTTAGTAAATAAATAATTGTTTTATGCAAATCTGGCAACCCTTAAAAATATTCTTCAAACTACAACAATAACTACAAAAGCCCTGGTTTGCAATATATTCTTTTTGTTTTCTTCTGCAGCCAGACAGACAACAACAACTTCCAACTTCGTTTAATACGAGTGGGTACAATAACAATAACAACAAGCAATAAGTTATTGTAAATAAATTCAACAATAATAATCAAGGTTGCCAATTTAGCTACTTTTTTATCAAACGTGCCTATGTACCTTCATTTTTGGACAACTAAACACGTGATTTGTTTATTAATTAAAGGGTTAAAGGTTAAAAATGTTAAGTTTGAATGAAAATAATCAATAAGGTGTTAATAATAATAACAATACTGTTAAATTAATATGCTTCAATGATTCAAAAGTGTTAAGTCAAGTGGTAGTAATAGAAATCGTGAATACAAATTATAATTTTTAAACACCAATGATAACGTAAAATCTCTTAAGCCATGATAGCAATACTTACCTCCTTACTACACAGTTGACAACATTGTGAGCAACCACTATATCTTCTAGCAGAGTTGTATTCCATACAAATTGTTGTACACACTTAAACACAATAATAAGTACAAAAAAGTTTTAAATTTAAATAACAAACAGTTTAAGTAAAATGAAAAACGTAAACGTTGAAAAAGAGTGCATGTAACAAAACAAATATTGTGTAAGGTTATGAACTCTGTAATTATTACCTATTAGCAACTTTAATCCTTTACAGGTAATGCTGCCAGGTTAGAGAGAAATTTGAAATTAAATATTTATGAAAGGAAGAAACATGCAGAAGTTTAAAGCAAATTTAACTGCAAGAAGTTTAAAGTCAGCGAATAGAAATGAAATAGAACTGAACTAGAACTGAACTAAAACTGAACTAGAAGTGAACTAGAAGTGAACTAGAAGTGAACTAGAAGTGAACTAGAACTGAACTAGAACTGAACTAGAACTGAACTAGAACTGAACTAGAACTGAACTAGAATTGAAATAGAACTGAACTAGAACTGAACTAGAACTGAACAAGAACTGAACAAGAACTGAACTAGAACTGAACTAGAACTGAACTAGAACTGAACTAGAACTGAACTAGAACTGAACTAGAACTGAACTAGAACTGAACTAGAACTGAACTAGAACTGAACTAGAACTGAACTAGAACTGAACTAGAACTGAACTAGAACTGAACTAGAACTTAACTAGAACTGAACTAGAACTGAACTAGAACTGAACTAGAACTGAACTAGAACTGAACTAGAACTGAACTAGAACTGAACTAGAACTGAACTAGAACTGAACTAG